GTCATTTTTCAAAAGTTTAGGAGTAATATTAAAGGAAAATCTAAATTATGATGAAGAAATTGAAATGGAAGAAGCGATTTTAGCTACGGTAGAGCAAAAAATAAAAGAATTTAAAATCAGAAAAGGTGAAATGCAAAATGCTGAGATAAAAAATATATAAAATAAAATGTCATGAGAAATATTTTTTTCAAAACAATATATATATATAAGATATACAAAGATATATAAAGCAAAAAACATAAAAATCTTATTCCATATTATTCCATTTATAGTTATAGCTCATATATGTAAAAAATATGTAAAGAAAATGTAAAGAATAGAAATAAATGGTAGAAAGAAAAGTATGTAAAGAATATATAACAAATTAAAATACTTATTTACAAATAGTAAAGAATATAGAATAAAAATAAAGAATATATAACAAATTAAAGTACTTATTCTTCTTACAAAGTAAACATACTGGAAGTATGTGGGTTTCACTTGCAACACTCGACCGGATTTATCAATTTTGGACCACATGGAATCTATAGAGATATAGAAATTTCATACTTATGGCTATAGATATTTGCTTCAACATTTTATTATCTTAATCTATTAAATTTTTGAAACTCGTAAGAAAAAAATAAGTCTGATTGAAAAAAAATGGCAGCATGAATTTTGAAATATATTTTCAGTGATATATTTCATTCAAAATAAACTGATTTTTGAATTTGGTCTTAAGTATTTTTGTGAGGATTTTAAGAGCATGTTTTCTTTTGTAAGTTGCGAATATCTTTTCTGAAAGAAAAAATTACGGCTATTATTGCTACACTCTCGGTGCATATCTCGTGTTAATATAATCAGCTGGCTATATAATATATATAATATAATCAGCTGGCCAGTATAGGGTTAGTTTTACATGCTTGAAGTTATGTTGTGACTTCCGAAGTCTAAAGTGTAAATCTATCACAAGTCACTATCTAGTAGATTATTACTCGTTACCTGATATTACTAGATAGTTACTCTCGTTACTCGTTGTTCTGTAGTTTATGGTTAGCTCTTTCCGTTGTCGTTGAAACCTAACTCAGTATAAAATTTTATTTCCTGTCATATGTTCTCTCTCCCTAAAAACAAAAGAAAAGGATTTTGGTCAGTCTCGCTCCAGACGAAAATTATGGCCAGATGGAAGTTACATAGATGGCTTACACGGGTACCGGCAGATCTTCTTTTAATGGGGCGTTAATAAGCGTATCACATCGATCCGAGTATTTAAACAATGATCAGAAAAAATAGTTGCAGATTTAATGTGCTTAAAATTTAATAATACTTAGAAGTCTTACCCAGAAATCTGAGTAAGGTTTTATGGTGGAACTAAAAGGAAATAAAATGACAGATGGTTTCAAAAAAACCGTGTGTTTTTTACTTAAAATTTTTTTTCTCACTAATTAGTCACCAATAAAACATAGTTTATCTATTTTTTTTCTATTGAATTTAACATGCCAGACATAAATGAAGTGTCTGAAGAATGAACAATTCAGGTAAACAAAAACAGATCTCTACTCAATTAAATCAATTTATTTATTTGCTACGCTACTGTGTTCGGTGCCTGGCAATGAGTTTTATTATAAAACTCAGTTTAATTTAAATAAAATCTCATAAAAACAAAAGAAAACATTTTTATTTAAATGACCGGTGCCGGAGTATGAAATAAACAAACAGAAATAAAAATAAAACAATTGGTGATAAGTATACAATGCAAATATACGAGTTCGCATAAAGCCTGGAAACAGTTTGTTCATTTTAGTGGGTTTTTATGAAATTGTTTTAATATGAAATCATAATTTCTACAAACTAGTTAAGTACTTAAATAGATGAATGTAAAAAAGCAAGACTTGTAGATTCATACACACATGTATCCGTACATATTTTTCTGTTTTATATCAGCATCCAAAATAAGACTTCATTTAATCGTCACTCTAAAGCCGCATATTTTATTTTATTTTCATCTGAAACTTGAGGTTCATGTAAATTTTATATTTCTTTTAATTTTTTTTTTGAAATTAATAAAGTCAGTGTGTCAAAAAGTAATAAAAAAACTGAAGAAAACTTTATACAAAATTTTAGTTATTACAAGTCACATTAAAGTAATTTAAAATGCTATTATATTTTATAAAAAATTATACATAAATGAGTTTAAAAATAATTGTAGTCCAAAATTGATTTAATTACAATATACGTTACATATGGTAAATGCGTAAGCATTTTAGTACTTATAAGAGAATATATTATTTCGAAAGAAATCTACACTATTCCCTAATGGAACTGAGCTAATATTAATAGTCAAAAGTAGTTAACAAACCTCTAAGTACATACTATAGATAGTATAATAATTACTTAAGTGTGGCCACATTCAGACATAAAAATACTCGCCAAATGTCTATCTGTAGAAACCGGCGTAGTCACCGTTTTAGGCATTAATTTCCTTATAGATTGTGGATCGCCATGTAGGCGAGTAAGCGACTTTAAAGTAATGCGTATTGTTACTCTTAATTAAAATACAATTGATGGCTTTGTAATGAGTAATTTTTATGGACTATTAGGTACACTCAAATATAGACAAAAAATAATAAAAGAAAATGTTAAAAAAATTAAAAAAATATAAAAAAATAAAAAAAAATTTTAAAAATTTTATAAAACTTATTTAATAAATGATTTTAAAAAAAAATTTTAAAAAATTAAAAATATATTCAAAATAAAATTTGCATAAAATATTATAAAAATAAATAAAGTTAATATTATTGATATGTAAGAAGCAAAGAAAAAACATTAGATGAACGCTAGACTATCAGTAGAAAAACGTTTAAACACAGCGGAAGAAAAACTGTTAGAAACTGTAAAGAACTGAAGGACGGAAGCGATGTGTTAACCGGTCTATTGAATTTAGAAAATAGAAAACAAACCTAAAATCTACTAAAAAGAAACTGAAACCAAAGTTTTCTGATTCTAGCATACATACAAAAATATATATACAAATAATATATAATATATATATATACAAATATATATATTAATATATATATATATTATACATACTTTAAAGCAATCATATCATCTATGGGTTAGGCTAAATTATATATTTGTATAGCATGTATTATATATTATTAATAATTAATATATATAAATAGCATTTAAAAAATACATTTTTATATATAAATTAAATTTAAAAAAAAACAAAAATATTTAAACAAATTTGTGAACTTATTTTGTATTTACTATTTTTTTTTTGTTTTTAACAACATTTCGTTTGTGTGTTTTTTATTGAAATAACCAATAAATAAATAATACAAAAAAATTAAAAAAAATAATAATAATGGAAAAAAATAATGATAATAAAATAAATAATAAAAAAAATTAAGCAACAAATATTTATAAATAAATAAACAATGCCATTTCAAATAAAGTTTACAATTGTTAAGAGTACATAGAATAATATACAACGAAACCTATAAGAAAATTAAAAAAAAATACCTTTTAAATACAGAAAAAATATTTTAAAAAGCGAAAAAAAAATTTTTCGATCAGAGAATTATGAGGGCCCATTGATAAATCGGTAGGAATTGCACTAAATAAATTTAAAAATAAATTACATATATATATTTTTTTATAATCTGGCAATATTTACAATGTTTCGTTTTCTCATCGCTTATTACACATTAGTGCCAAACAAACTCCTAACATCTACAACAGAAAAGTTCGTTAGCCCTATAGTTAACCGAGATAGACACTGAGGAATCAAGCCAACTTATTGAGAAGATAAGCTATAACTTGAAAAATTAACATAAGTTCGGAAATTTGGTAGCTTGAGTGGTTCACTCGGCTGAAGCTGCTGAAGAATGTCAAAATAAAAGCATGGTTGTCAAAATCCATGATTTAATAGACAAATATCATCATATAAAGGTACAGGTATGCGAGTTTACTAATGATTTTTATCATTCCAAAAAATTGACACCAAGATTTGTACCACATTTAATCATAGTGAGTCCAAAATATAACAGTAACCTTTCATAACCTAAAAAAGACTACATATGTATGCTTATGATTGTAGATGAGACAGTGTTACATTATTATATTTGCGAAATGAAAGAATTAAAAAATGGACTTCTACTTCTACACGTGCTTTAAAAAGTGCGAAAATAACTGTATTAATAGAAGTTATCGTCAGAGACAGTCAAGAAGCAATGAAAGCATTATCCTCTTGGTACTTTATTTCGAATATCTAAATGGACTGCTATGATATGATGCAACTTGCAGGAACAGAATAATGAGTATGGAGTATATAATCACAAAGGAATTAACAACAATATTTTCGGGAACAGTACCGTATAGAACAGATAGGCCATTCAATTCTATAGTCGAAGCCTAATAAGTAGTTACACAACTAAAACTCTAATAAAAAAAAGTAGTTTGTAAATAGAAAAATGTCGCTATAGAAGCATCACAACAAATAATTGCCATGTAAAGAGCTGTTTCGTCAACCGTCCCTACACAGTGGAACAGACTTGTTCGAAAAGCTGACGAATGTTTTTGCCAGAGATTCTGATGACCTTAAAAAGAATGACTCGAGAAATAGAGTGTCGGCTCTGCTTAAAAGCAGACGACACTTCTAGTCATATTCTATGACTGTCTAACTCTGACATGGAGCCGGAAGAGATTTCTAGATCAAGAGTTCATATTTCTGTCTGATATTAAAAAATATTCTATATTTGTTCATTTAGGGTCGGTTAGCAGTACAAAATATGTGCTATGATCGCAGTGCATCACTTGGTTGCGAGCCAGAATACCGTTTATTTCCGTTTTTCTGTTATAATTCTAATTTTTACATATAATATAACATTATTGAAAGTCAAATATTTATATATTGAATTAATAATATCTAAGTAGTTGTTGATTTTTGTTTTATATTATGATATTGTTGTATAAAAAAATGTTACTAATAATTTTTTTTTATTGTATTGTTTTATTTTTATACTTTTTTACATTAAAGTCAAGTAGTTATATACAAGTACTTTATTTGCTAAAAAAAACAAATATTTCTAAAAATTTCAAAACTTTTGATTGATCGAAATCAAAAATGCCTAGGAAACAGTGCAAAAGAAGATCTAAATTTTCAAAAAGAAAAGTGCTTAGCGGTTACTACGGCAATCATTTTGGACATCAAATGCATTCTGATAAACTCCCGGAAATGACGTTAATACCCATTAATGCTAATGATTGTAGACCTGAACCTTTTATATATAATATAAACTCATTCCCAAATGTTGAATCACCCTTTGCAAATTCAGTTTCAACATACGGTGATATGACAAATAATTATGCAGAAAATTTGTTTTCCCCAATGGAAATACTATATCCATTTAATACAATCACACAAATAGCATTGTCCGGAAATGTAACTATACCCATAGAGAATAACAAAGAACAACTTGATGAAGTCGTCCCAATGGAAATAGATGAATTCTATGATTATCCAAATATGATGGAAGTGGATAAGGAGTTTACTTTTAGTAATGGTACTAACGTTTCACCAATATCCTCTAACGCTTCATTTTATTCTTATGGCGAAACTCAGGCGTTCGCTCAAAATAACTTCCAAAAGCGATTAAAAAAGAAAAAATCTCGGCATAATATCCAGAAATGTCCATTCTGTAAAAAGAAAAGGAGGTTTGTTTTGCATAACATAACGAAATATTAAAAACTTACTACTCACTAATTTAATTTTTAAAATAGAATCTAAATAATGAGAAATCTCAAATTCGCAGTCAAATTCGATGTTCATACTAAGAATTTAGAATCTATATAAATTCTGAGCTGAAATTTTAAAAATATTGATGAGGGAAACTAGAAATTCTAAATCGTTTTATGAAAATTTATATACAATAACTATTCCAATCATGCACGCAAGTATAGACATATATCATAACAGATATATATTTATGTTAAAAATCATAAACACACCATTTCAGTATTGAATAAAATGTTAAATATTAATAAAACTTTCTTTATAGAAAACTTGGGACCTACCTCGCTATCAAAATCTTCAGAAACTGGAAAATTATTCGTAGATATCAGAAGTACAAATTGAATAGAATGTATAATGCTTTTATAAACTACATAAATTAAATAAACTAATTTAAGTCAAACTACGGAAACGTTAAAATTTTCTATGACTTTGTAGATATAATAGATCAGACAATCAAATAATTTTATCTATATAGGTAACAATAAGAAATCGACAAACCCTCAAGTTTCATATAATATTGTTCGTTTCTTGTACCAAAGAATATCCACAATTTAAGCATTTTATAATTTTTTAAACAATCTGTATAATTCATTTTTACCCATTTACATACTATATATCAATCAAACTACATCTCTTCATATATAAGAAAAGGCTTTAATAAAGGTGAAGGAGTAAGATATTTTCTACCTTCTCAACAAGGAGTTCTCCCTACACTTGAGCATGGTTAACGTCACGTTGGCTTTTTAGAGTTGAAGCTTTGAACTAAGGAGCATATTCCTATTTTAACTTTTCATCCATATATGTTATGTAGTATTATAGTAAAAATATATACTTCTAGGTATTTATATTTTATAACCAATTTTAATTTTTTTTAAGTACCTATGGTTCTATTTGAAAGTCAAAATTTTGGACTTTTAAATATATGCTGTAATTAAATATTTAGTACCGTATATACTTTTATTGTACCTTTTTTACAAAAATTTGTACCATATACCGTGAAGTCAATCATTTTGTTTTGTAATACAGTACCGTTGCGGTATGATTTAATATCTGAATCTATCACAATATTGTACCGCATATGTTTATGTTATGCTATATACCGCAATGGTTATTTGTACCACGTATCGTACCGTGCCGTACCTCGCCTGCTTAGGCATATCTTATTAAAGTATGTATTTACTTTGTTAGGTTAAAAAAAAACTGGTTTATGATTTCGTTCCTATATAATACAGCAAGTGAATTTGTTAATGAACTTTTACAGCAAATTAATAAAAATAAACTATAAGTTCGAACATACAAGTCAAGTACGATTTTGGTTCAGTTGGCAAATGAACACTGACTCTGAGCTTCAAAATTGGCAGGGCACGAGTTCAATCTTTGATACTTGCAGTCTCAAAAAAAAAACTATTTACGATTAATTAAATATGAGATTTTAGGTATTTAATTTTAATTTTATTTAATTTTAAGATTTTAGATATTTGGCAATAATCGAACCAGCTGTATGGTCAACCAATAATTCAATTAATTAAAATAATATCATCTCTGTTTAAAAAAACTCTATAGATTATATTAAAACAATAATAATTAAAATAATATAAAAACAATTCTTGTTGTTGTAGTTAACTACTTTTCAAAACCTCTCTGTTAAAGAAAACTCTATAAATATTTAGTAAACCAATTACTTCAATGAAAGTTATATTTTTCTTATACGAGTACTTGTAGGCATAAAATTTATTTAAAAATAAATTATCTTTAAATTTCACTTCTTAGTGTCTCCAAAAGTCAAAGCTGCACTGCATAAATCTCCTCTCATCTTTCAACTGTGAGTAGATCTATCACGGGGTTAGCTTATCTGCTGTAATATTTTTATACTATGACAAAAGGGAAGACAGAGCAGACCTTCTATAAAATTGTGTTTTAAATAAGCCGCTCATTTGCATGTCAAAGTCACATCTTTACATTAAGAAGAATAATTTTAATTTTAAAATAAATTTTGTTTTTTGTTATTTGTTATTTCAACAGCTTTGCTACTTGCAATTAAGAGTCGAAATTTGACATTTCTAACCTAAACCTTGCATAACTATTTCCAAATGATAAGAGAGGTTTTGCGGTTCGCTTTATATTTCAAATGAATTTAATTTGTAATTTAATTTCTGAATATTTTTCTATATAAGCACACAAAATAAATACTATTTTGTGTCTATTATGAAAATTACTTAAGAAAAATAATTTAATGAAAACGATATTCATAGAATTAGAAACCATTCCTATTGAGTGATACATTGATTAATCGACGATTATCTCGTATGTGTAAATTCAATAACATCTTCCGCATTTTGTGGGAGTTAGAAATGTTTGAATTTAATATTATTAAACTTTAAATTATCTTAGCAAATATTATTGATCTCCGCCTTCAACGCCTGAGTGTCACATTAACTTAAATAAACATAGAAGAACATAATAGAGGTCTTAATACAGACATAGAGATATTGGTAGCAATAAAAAATAAGATAAATAATTCAGACTATGCTATCATAGGACACAACTTAATATTGGTGTCTGGACATAGAGAACATGTTGACAGTAAGAAACCAGATAAACAAATTCAGACTAAGAACTAAAATAATATTCATAGGATCTAAACCCACTTATGGCTTTTTAAAAAAACATCGAAATGGTATCATTCTTAAATTGATTATGGAGCAAACATTATTTGCGCAACCGGACTAGTAGTCTGCGTGTCAACAGACATGATCTGAGAATCTTATTTGAAACTATCCACAAAGCATTAAAGCTGTAATTAACACCTAAGCAAATTATGCATTTTTGAATCAGATGAATGTAAACACTACGATGAAGACAAGAAGATAATGGAGTATATATGGTAATCTTTTAAATGTCCAGTTTTATTATGAGATCAAGAATTGGTATTTCGAAAATAAGAAATGCAGAAATGGATTTAAAAGGCATTCAACTTAAGAAACTAGTATATTTTATTAACAAAATAGAGGTCCTAATAGACTCATCTATATATAATTTCTTATTAAATTTAATTTTAACATCAGTTATGACGGTAGTGACTATTTTACCTAATAGAAATTATTGAACTTTATAGAGAAGTTTCGAACAGTAGTGAATTGTAACAACAAAATTTTTATTTATTTTTAATTAATCAAATTTTTAGCTGACCATATAGCTGTTTCGGGTATTGCCAAATACCCATCATCGGTGGTCTTGGAATTTTTTCTTATATTTAATTATTTATAAATAATTTTTTGAGACTGCAAGTACCAAGGATTGAACTCATACCCTGCCAAATTTAAAGCTCAGAGTCAGTGTTCATTAGCCAACTGAACCAAAGCTGTTGAAAGCTTGAAGTTTTTTAATTCGCTGTAAAAGTTTATTAACAATTTATAATTATTAATGCAATTTAAAATTTGATATAAAAATAATATAAATATTCTTATATCAATAAGAATCAAAATCTCTTGATAACAAGAAGTCCAAGTTAAGATATTGTTTTGCAATTATCTAAATTATAATGAATATATTACTTATTTGTCTTTTATGTGAGAGTTTTTGAAAAATCAATAGTATTATTAAAACTAATACTGTAGGTTTGACTGGTTATAAAACTGTTTACTTGAGGCAAAAAAAAAATCTATCTTTTGAATTGGTATATAGGCAATGAACATTTGCTTTGGATAAAAACCAATGAAAATTTTTTTATGATGAAAGAAACTATTTTCTTAATAGAAAATATTAATGAATTACAACAACAAAATACGCATTATAATTGGTCTTTTTCGGAAGTATTTCTTATATACAATTATTCGTTAATAATGTGAGTATCATTATTGGTACTTGGTACTGCGAGTAACAAGTATTGGACCCTGTTAAATTAGAAGCTTTAAGCTAGTGTTAATTATTCAGCTAACCCAAAGCCGTACTCGACTTGTATTGTTCTAACTTGGAGTTGTGTGTCAGTTTGCTGTGAAGTTCATCAAGAAATTCTCTTGCTTTGCTATATTAGAAAAATATCATAAACCAGCTATAAAATAAATGAATAAATTAATTATAGTTTTTTTTTAATTGTTAACAATAAAACCTTGTGCAACATCAAATATTCTAACTTGTCCCTTTATTGACCATAAGCCAATTTAATTTGCAATGTACATTCCATTCTAATACTATTGCCTATACACATGGATATGTATATATTTTAACTCAATAAAGCTAATCTTCTGCATAAGTGCAGAGATTTACTAGGAATATAATGCCATACAACAGATTGTTTTTTCTTCCATATGAAAACTAATACATCACTATGATTGCGAAAACTATTCGAAGAAATGAGAAAAATCAATTGCCAAAGACGAAGACTTCTAAACCAAGGCAATGCAAGTCAGAAGGATTTTCGCTGTCAAAAAAGCCGTTAATGTTTAGGAAGTGTTCTTAACGGAATAAAAAAAAGTGCTATGACAAATGATTTGTGTGAATAGATCATGGGTAGATAATTTTTTTTGATAAAGCTAATGACCAGTATAAATGCATATATTCTAGACATTATGTGATATTAAACAGATTGTTTTTTTTTCTGTATGAAAAGTAAAGTAATACTGTGATGCACCATTACAGTTTGAATGGCACATCATCAGAACTCTTCAAGGAAAGGAGGAAAACCAATCGCCAAAGACGGATTATTCTTAACCACGGCAATACAAGTTACGATTTTCGCTGGCATTGGAAGGAAGCCGTTGATGCGTTCAAAACCCGTGTTTAGGAAGTGTTCTTAACGGAATAAAAAAAAGTGCTATGACAAATGATTTGTGACAAATGGTTTGAGTGAATAGATCATAAAGGAAAATTTTTTAAAAATTATTAAGCTGTGTTTTTGTATTAGTATGCTAATAATATAATTAAGCTGTTAAGTTTATGTAAATTCATTATTCAAATGAGTTAACCCTTTTGGTTAATATGATTTTCTAAGCAACTGTTTTTTTTTTTTCAAAACAGCAGTTTTTTCCTATATATGTATATATATCAGTATTGTAGAATCAACACATGGTTTTTCTTCATAAAAACTGTTTTTATTAACAATATTTTTATGAGCATTTTTGTTAGTTCGATATTGTAACTCAATTGTTAAGTAATGGTACGTAAGCGTACGTGCAAATTAACATAAAATATGGCAAATCATAAAAAAAACACGAAAAATTAATAAAAAATTTATTTATTTATGAGCTTTCCACACTCCAACAAGTTGAGAACGAGGGGATTTTCCAAATCAATTCTCCTGGCTTCGTGCCAGCAACGTTTTGACATCATCAGAGTCAGCCTAAATAAACATAAGAATTATTTATGTTCTTTAATAGAAAAATTATTAAGAAATTTCTTTCATTCTACAAATTCTTGTTCTTGTTCTTGTTCTTCTTCTTATTCGTTTTACAAAAACAAAAGAATAACATAAGCACCAACAACAACGAGAATAAAACTAACGAGAACGAACGATTTTCTGTTAGAATTCTTTTTATAGGCATTTTCCGCTTTTAAATAATGATAATTACCCTCACCATAATTATTTCTGTATTTTAAATTAAAATTAAAATGTATTACGGAATTTTCTTAATTAATTTATTATAGCTTTTCTTGTGCTACTCGTTGGATTCCACGCTGACCAAGAATTTTTTTTGCTTGTATTTTGAATTTTCTCGTTGTTAAAATTATAATCGCCGCTGCAAGCAAATACTCGCTGCCATTTACTGCTTCTGCGGCGCTGCTACTTAACAACCACTGTGAAGCGTTTGCACCATAGAAACACATACGTGCTCGCTTCTTTCTGCAGCGCCCGACAACTGTTCAAGGTCATTGATGTGATGTTCTATATGTGCAGTTAAAAGAAGAAAAATAGCAAAATAGCAAAATAGCAAAAAAAATTAAAGATGCTGTCAGGTTTTGATAGTAAAAATTGATGCTTCATTTCACGGAGAAGAACTTATGTCGATTCTTTTGAATTCTTCATTCACGCATTGTGAAAAAGAGACATTAAGTTTGTCTAGCTTTTTGTCACTTTGTAGAGGAAGTATCGGAAAATTCAAAAAGTACATATACAGTGCAAACTCAATTGAACGGACACTCATTTGCTGCAAGCATTTGTTTATTCGAAAGGTGTGTCTGGTCAAATGAGATGAAGCTACCTAAAAAGAATTGTACACCCAAGCGAGATTTTCGTTCAACAGGAAGACCGTGTATGAGAGTATGCATTCAACAAGGATGTCTATACAACAGGGGTGGCCGTTCACCAAAGCTGTCCGTTCAACACGAGTTTTTATTTAGCAAAGATGTTCATTTACCAGGGGTTTAAATACAATAGTAGTGCCCATTCAACACGAGTTTTTATTTAGCAGGGATGTCCATTTAATGGAAGTGTCCACATAAAAGCAGCTGCCCTTCAGCAAGGGTGCCCGTTCAACAGAGATTTCTATTCCACAGGGATACCCGTTCAATTGAGATATGGTTGCCCATTCAAAAAGGATGTCCATTGAACACGGGAGTCCAGTAAACAGGGATGCCGATTTAACAGAATGCCCTTCAACAGAGATGTCTATTCAACATCGATATTCGTTCAATAGAGATATGGTAGTCCATTCAACAAGGATATGCATTCAACGGGGGTACCATGGTGAACAGAGGTGGACATTCGTCTGGGGTGTGTTTATTTAACTGTGATGTCCATTTAATAGGAGTATCCATTTAAAAGAGGTGTGGGTATTCATTCAACAGGGGTGTTCATTTAACAGGGCGGTGTGTTTAACAAGACTGCCTATCTAATACTGATGCTTGTTTAACAGAAGTGTCTTTATAACCGAAATGTCTATTTAAACAGGTAACAATTTAACAGGGGTGTTCATTCTACTGTGGTGTTTACTCAACAGAGGTGTCTGCTCAACAGGGGTGTCCACACAACAGGGGTATCCATTCAACAGATTTACTTATTTAACAGAGCTGCTCTTTCAACAGAGATGTTCGTTCAATAGCGGTACTCTTTTTACAGGGATATCCATTCAATAGCGTTGTTCATTCAACAGGTATATCTAATAACAGAATTTTCACTGTACACCATTGATTTGCAATTGTAGTTCTTTAAACCAATAGAAAGAATTAGAAAATATTCAAATCTTTCAAATTCTTTTAAAATTTTCCATATGGGCTCGTTTAGTCATAACTAAATCAAATTCGATATCACGCCAGATCGTTGTCTAAATCATTATAAACGATGGTGTATGGCTTCTTTTAGACTTTCTATAAAAGTATCGTGGTAGCTGTGAAGTATCATTAAAACTCAAAGTTATGAGTGTAGAATGATTATATTCATTCGATGTGGACTTGCATTTTACAATTAGGTGCTGTGACCGAAAAAACAAAATAGATGTTAGTTAGACCTCGCTTCCACCCAAGAAGGAAACTAGGAAACCGATGGGATCGTGTATTGAAACATCAAAGTGTTAGACCTTCACGTGAGGTAATCATGTTAAAATACTAAGGAATCTGTTATTGTTATTGTTATAGACTGCAGGAATCTGTAATGCATATAACATATAAAGAACTACACGACAAGTATATGTGTTAAGTTGTGGATGGGTAATGAATGTGATTATTAGACAGTGAGTTTGATTTGAAGAATAAGTGAGGTTTAAATTAAAGTCACCCAGTAACAATGGCAGAAACCTAGCTACTTCTAATGGATGACTCCCAAGGTCGATTGCAGTTAGATTTGAAGGCAGAGGAAAACAGATAGGCCACATCATAGGGAGTAGAGCTGCAGTAAGGGCACATTTGGTAAATTGATACATTGACATTGATGCGTGTCAAGTAACTGTTGAGCACATAGCTATTTCCTGATTTTAATTAAGCGAGAACAGTTTTTACTGCATGGGAAATGTGTCGTTGTTGCTTGACAGATAGGCAGGATAGGGTAGGAAATAGCCCACACATTGACATTTATGCGTTTCAAGTAACTGTTTATGTACTTTATCCTGATCATAATGGAGCTAGAACAATTTTTACTGCATGGGAAATGTGTCGTTGTTTCTGGGAAATGTTAGGCGATGGCCTATTGACAATTTTATTGCAGTGCAACCGTGATCCTGCAGGTCTCAGGCAGGATCTCCGCCGCATCGACGACTAAGTGGTCTTTGCCACACCCAAAAAGTCCGTTAAATAAACAGTGTCATATACTAACTGGGAATATTAACCATGGAATATTACTAATCCTTTGGTTTTTTTTAACTGAGAAGAATTGCTGATCACGTCAATATACGCTGAAGAGCGAGCTTTCACTGTATCTTATTATGAATTTTCAATGTTAACATTTTTATTAATTTTTTTTATATCAAAATGATTTTTTCATAGAAAAAACTGAAAGACACTTCTTAGCCATATGCATTCATATACTTTATACTTTACTCGCTCGATTAAGCTTAGTTTACAAAATTTTTCACTTACCAACACAGCACTTTCACGCACAACCTGCGAGACCGTCTCACGCAATTGCGCTGCCATGCCTGGCTTATTCAAGCCGCGTGTAAATTTTCGCTCAGCCATTGTGGTCAGTTGAACAGGAGCTGAGCGACATCAAACACCGATACATAAAAGAAATAATCAAACACAACGCACCGCACCGCACCGCACTCGTAATTATCAAGGAAAAACAACAACACGGTATCAAAACCGATGCTGAGAGAGCGAAAAAAAAAAAATTTATACACAAACTTGTTGTTTTGTGTTTGAGCTGGCACTCGCTGCTTGCGTTGTTGTTGTCGTTTTATGTGTTCGTATTTTTTGTATTCAATGCAATAAAGTAGCCGGCATTTCGGTTCTCACATTTTATTTAAATAAATTTTGATATAAATTTTTTTGTATTTTATTTTACGGACACTTTTCGTTTTGTAATTAATATTTTGTTGGTAAAAAAAAAACTTGCACTTAGCACAAAAAAAAAATAAAAATAAAACATGCAGTGGAAGGTACAGGAAGCCAAAAAAGAAATGCAAAAAAATTATTTTTTTTTGTCAGAGAAAACAAAAACAAAAGAGAGTATTAGGTTTGATAATGATGAGTAATCCTTTTTGACTGCCTTTGGTTTGGTTCTTATTGGATATTGTTTTTGTTGCCACAGTATTCCACAGTACACGGCGGCTGCTGTTTATGCCACTGTTGTTGGTGTGTTGTTGTTATTGCATTTGAAATTCTTACACACCCACTTATTTTATTTAAATCAAATAAAACTTTATTTATCTTAATTGAATTGCTTTGCTTAATTCAAAAAAATTCAAAAAAAAGAAAAATATTATTTTTCATTCCCAGTAAACACGGCAAAAACAAAAATCCTTACACATCAAATTTTTTGCATTTTGCATTTATTTTAGCGCCTTTTCACTGCTTTGCGGTGATATACACAAAACAGGCACATAGAAAACAGCAGGCATTCAGATTTTGCTAAATTTTGAAAATTCTCAATAAAATAATAAAAATAAATCCAAACATTTAATACAATTAAATATACGTAAACACTTTTGATGCGAGAGAAAAACAAACACACATGTTTTGCTCTAAAAGGACCGCAAAGTAAGCAGCACAACAAAAACTTATTCCATAAAAAATATACAAAAACTATTGAAAACAACTTTATTGTAAGGTGTTTTTTTTTCTTTCATTTATTACACATTTTATTTATTTTTATTACAACAATTAGATTTGTTTACAAAATATGCATTCATTTGATATGGGAAACCGTCGGCGGAACAATAAGACTCACTGCGCACAAACTAACCTTAGGATTTAACGGCGAAATGCAAACTAAATGCCGTGAATAGAAATTGAACACACAAAAAAATTTTGAGTTGAATTTGTGGCAGTGTGACCAACCAATATATACTGCACAACATATGGTATAAAGTGGTATAAAATTATAATTCTAATTCTTGGCAACACTAACAAACACTAAAAATTGCGTTGATGTGCAAGCACAAATATTTATTATATATTTATTAATTTTATATATATATATTATTATATATATATTATTACATATATTACATTTATTATATATATATTATTATATATATTACATTTATTATATATATATATTAATATGATTGAATTGGTTTTAATGTTCGTTTTCACGAAACTTAATTCTTAACCCATTCCGGCTAGCTTTGAATATTTTTTAATATTTAAAGAATATTTTGTATATTTTGGATAAAAATAAAGTAAGAGTAATCTTTCAAATAACTTTTCTCATTCACATTAACTTATTTTATTTTACTATTTATTATAGAAATTTTACAGTAAAATTTCAAGTATGTATGAAATTGCCTAGTATATAATGGGTTAATATAAACTATTGTTTTCAATGAGGAAATATTTTGAAAAGTAGTATATTACTACAATATTTTATTGTTTAGGCCGTGTGTGACCTCAAGTATATTGAGGTAAAGTAAATTGAAATTTCTTAGGTATTTTTTGCACTGCACTTTGTTAATATTTATTTATTTATATACTCCACTTCTTTATTATTTTTGGTTAAAAGTTTTCAAATTTATTTATTAAGAATCTTATAAAATTTTAACAATGGTAACACCTAATTTACCTAATTTTTATCAAATTTAACCTACTCGAAATTCTGGTAAATACTAACATTCGCTGCCATACCGACATAATTTACTATTTCCCTCAATTTACCATCAATCTCGCACACAGCCTTCATATTAATATGACTAAATTGATTTTTAACTTGAGCTTGACAATGAAATTTGTACATCAAACTTTCTTAGAGATGACGATATTATTGATCATTATAGCTCTGAATTTGTGGATCTGATTCTAAGTGCAACGGAAAGTGATGATGAGGGTTCGGTGGATGTAATTGTTTATCAGCCTTCTAAGAATGAAGTAGAAGACTCATTTAAAATTCTGAATTTATATTTGCAAACAACTGATGATTACTATGGGAGTATGAATAAATTGGAAATCTTTTTACTGAAAATAAGAAAAAAATTAAAGTCCCAAACGCTAATTTCTGAATATCTTACTTCACTATAATTTCTGTGCTTTATTTGATTACAAATAAATAAATATCTTAAAATGTAATTCTAATTTCTTTCAAAAATAAAAAAAATTCTCTAACTCGAAGTCTCCATAAGTGGAACTTTTTCTTTGCAAAATTAGACTTCGAGTTATGGAACTTTGCCTGTATCTGTTTTTAGTATAAATATCATCTGGTCACCCAAATAATGTACAAAAATATTTTATACGTATTTTTGCAATTCTATCTAATATACAAACCACTTAGAATTAAAGTAGCAAAGTCTTCAACCACTTCAGCAGATAACAATAATTCCAAACGATTGGCAATGCAAACTGCAGTAAATAATAAATTTATTTAAATATGAAAAACCATTCAAATTAAATAACGTGATTCAATCATAACTCTTGATTAATTATTTAGGGATATTTATCCCATGAAAACAATGCAAATAAGACACAATATTTAATGCTTCTGTATATGTATTTTCGTAAATGCCATAAAATTAATTAAAGTTTGTTTAAGTGCTCTAAAGATTGTAGATTATTACTGTGTTATACAAAATACAATAAATAAAATTATTTATTATTTCCTTCACAATTTGGTGATAAAGTATATATTCTGCGCTCGTTGATGTTTTTGGTTTAATAATTAAAGAAATTACCATCGCCGTCTTGACGTGAGAAACCACCATTGGTCAACTGGCTATGCGGACCACTTACCATCAACTTAACGTATTCAGGATGAATTTTTCTTTGCCTTGGACCCTCAGGATTAACTATATTGGAATGAAAATATTATATTAATTACTTATTTACCATTACTTCTATATATACTAAACAAAATATACTAACTAATTTGTATAGGATGCCCAAGTGGATTCGGTGGTTTCTTATGAACAGTTATAACATTGCGAAGTAAGCGATAGGTAATTAACTCAGTAGCTGTCTCCACCTGCATGATATGATCTTCTCGCTTAGGAAACGCTATGCAACCATGATCATAATAAGCCTGCAAGTGCAAGTCCAGCGAATCCTTTGGCACCGAATTACATTGCTTGAAACGTTTACCAGTACGAACTGAACTCAACGTTTGATGATAGAACAAACGCTCGTATGGTTTGAGATTTGTGTACCAAGGCTGACCTCTTGGCACTGGTGGAGGCTGAGGATACGGCTTGACCATACGACCCTCGCGGTCCATAATAGGCAAGAACTTGCGATTACGCAAATCCATGGTAGGAATACCCATCAAATTGAAGCTCAACATTTTGCAGCTTTTTAAGAAAATTTCAAGTCTAGATATTTTTTAAATTGAATATTTATCACTCTTTATATTTATCAACCTTTGCTCTCAACATATAAAGCTTAATAGAAAAAATAAATTGTTAATTTGAAATGTTGTCATAGTTTCTCGTGTCCGTTAATTCGGAAGGAAATAATACAAGCTATGTTGCCACGTTTCTCGAAAAATAATTTAATTCTTAAAATTCTCCAATTACTTACTTTATTTGCAAATATATGAACTTTTAATTGCAAAAGAAGAAATAAACAAAAAAAAAATTAGAAAATAAAATATTAACATTTGAATAATAAATTTTTCAAATTTTTTTTTGTAAAGCATTAGTGACTTTTGCAAAAAAAAATTTATTTCCATAAAAATATTAATATAATACTAATTTAATTTCCTTGATTCAGTTTAATTACATTTTATTTGTTAATAAAAAATACTCTATTATTTTGCAATGATTTTTATTGAGCGTGCACCGCAAAGCAGATGGTCTATTGGTAATATTGATATGCAGTACTTACCAAGTATATATAAAATAAAGATTAAGTATAAAATTCGAAGAGCTAATAATTACAAAACTTTTTTAAATTTCGTTATTGAAATATAAAAAGTATAATATGAGGAAATATATTTTTTGATTTTAAAGTAAATAAAGTATAACATACTATGATCAATTTTTTAAGCTTCTATATACATATATCTGAAGTAACTTATGCATAGTTGGCCTATATGTTCAGACAGCCAAATCTCCTTAATTTCGTAAAAATGAAATTAATTTAATTTTAAAACTGTTCATACTACCCCCAAATTAAGATGCAGTATAAAAATTACAAGCTCAAACCATCATTTTTATCTGGAAAATTTTAAACGTTGATTATTGTATCTATAAAGAATGGCATTCAGTAGTTTTATTAAAACTACTAAAATAAATTCAATTTAATCAGAAAAAATAGTCATTAATGGTGAACCTTAAATTAAAACTAAAGAAATTGACTTTTAACGAAATTTGCACTATCAAATCAGCTGATTTCAATTTACTTAGTGTCGAAACTTGCACTGTCAAATCTGCTGTTCTGATGTTGGTTTAAAAAATTGAAGCAAGCTCTACTGAAATTATAAAATATGCATTCACGATTTAGCATTTTAACATATTTTTATTATAACTCGAGTTTATCATATTGATTAAAAATTAAAGATCGACATATGACATTTCGGCAGTAAAGCACAAATAAGACCAAGGGTCATGTCGATAAAGGGCTAATACTAAAGTAACATAAGAGTTTTGTTTGTAATTTTAGCTGCCATGTTTGTAATTATAGCTGTCAATCAAATAACTTGAATGCAACAATTTCAATGCCGCAATTCGAAATCTGTATGGTACAAATCCTTTATCTGTCGAAATTATATTCATATTTTACATAAATGGCTGCAATAGCAATTGAAATAAAATACGTTTAGTGATAAGAAATTAGATTTTATTATACAAAACTTTTTATTTAAAAATTTTTAAAACATTAATATTTAAATATTGATATTTTTATAATATTTTTTTAGTATCAAATATTTTTAAAGTTAATTATATCAAACTTAATTATTGTCGAATAGTTATTATTTTAAGCCAGGCGCATTTTATTATTACAATACCCTTTCTTCAGTATTTATGGTGTTATAATTATGTTTACACTTGCAGTTATCAAATTTTTCTAGCACATTTGGATGTATGGATTCTATATGAAAAATATTAAGGAAATGTATTGTCAAACCGATACCTAAAAGATTGTTTAAATTAGTTAAATATATTTGAATTTATTTTAACTTTAAGAATTTTTTTGTATTAATTATATATTTCTTTTATTGAAGAAATTGAAATTGTTAAAAAGGACAATGGTACGCTGCGACCTATACGATTTGAGCATAAATGGTTTCAACTGAAAAATATTTAATATGTTAAACTTCTTTAAAAATTTGATTTGTCATTATTTATGTTTGTAGAAACATATATAACTAATTATGAACACTTTTCCTTAAATTTTTTTATTATATTAAAGAAAATATTGTAAAATTTTAGTCAATTACCCAAAGGGCGCTATGTTTAATATACATTTCAGTTGTATATTTAAAATTTTAATATTTTAATTAAAATTATTATTTATTGATTATTGATTTTTTCTAAATAGAGTTTATATTTTCATTTTAAACTTATGCAATAATATAAATATATTCATGCATTAAAAGTTAATTGGTTATATAGACTATAACTGTAAAAATTGAAATTTTACTCGAAAACCGAACGCGTAACTTACTTACAAAGTTTTTTGTGTTCATTCGTATTCAGTTCCTTATTGAGTTCAGTTGTGTCAATTACTGCTTAAAGATAAATTTGTGAATTGTTTTGTGAATAAACAGTTATTCTGTTATAACTAATTGCATTATAAGAAATAAATTTATCTTAAAAGATAAACACATTTTTTATTATGTGAGTACCAATAAAAAGTTTTCAAAGTCAATATAAATAATTAAACGCTTTTTTAATTATTATTAAAGAATTTTATTATTTTAATATATATATTATATAAAAATTATTATTTTATACTGAATAAGTAAAAAAAAGATGTGAAAGTGATTAAATAAAAAATTATTTATTTAAAAGAATATCGTAAGAAAAGTCGTTTTAGAATGGCAGCCATTTTGATTCAAAATTTGTTTCGTGCTTTTTGCCAAAAATATTATTTAAATTGCCATGTAACCGAACTCTAGTAATTAAAACAAATTATAAATAAAACATTGTTTTGTTTTTTAATAAAATAATGAATTATATTTAGCTATAGGTGGAAACAAAAATTAAATTTCTTTACAAATGTCGTTAGATTTTTGAAAATTATTTATGCCCTTCGTTTAAAATTTGCGCTTCGTCTCTCGTCGGTACAACTACTTGTCATTCGTAAAAAATAAACGCATTACTTTATTTCTTCTTGTGCTTATTTTCGTTGTGTCGCTCACCGAGTGCAGTCGCGCAAAGTTTAGAATCCTAATCATGTTTTTTTTTGGTGAAATTGGTTTTATTTGAATATATATTAAATATATTTAATTGAAAAATAAAGGTATTTATACACACTATTATTTATTTATAACTGATTTTATTATATAGTTGTAATTATGTTAAACATACAAGACGTTTCGTCAACTTTTAAAAAATCGCCATTTTGGTTGGATATTTTTTGCAATTCAATAAGATTAATAATGGAATGAAGAAGCATTGGTAATAAAAATCAAAATGCATAAAAATTAATAGCGTAATTCTTTTATAGAAATTGCTGTGCTTAACTACTTAAAATCTTTTCTTTCACTCTTAATGTAAATTCTGTAATTTGTTTTAATAATAATTGTTTTTTAATTTTTTTTCAAATAATTTTATTAATTAAATTTTTTTTCAAACAATTTTAAAATAAATCATTTCGGTATTATTATTAAAAAAAAATTCTAATAAAAAATAATAGACAAATAAGTAACATGCATAAAAGTGAATATTCTCTGTTTGAAAAAAATTCTCGAAAAAGCCGTTTCATATCCCGCCATTTTGTTTGTCAATTTATTTTGTGCTTTTTCAAAAAAAAAAAATAAAACAACCGGAATTAAAAACATGAATATTATTAATTATTTATATAAAATAATAAAATTCAAAAGTTTTTAATAGTTAAATTTTCATTACATTGCCTTTGCCGTGTTTGGTTTTTGTTGAAAAATACGCTTAGTTCCTACTTTTTTTTAATTCCAAAATTTAAGATTACAATTTTTTTTTTCTTAATATAAGTCACTTTATTTTATATTATATAATCAATTTCGGTTAAAAATTTCAAAATATTAACGCCTAGTACTAAATCTAAAATAAATGACATTAATATTAATAATATTAGTATTAATAATTAGTATTAATAAAATAGTAATCTAGGGCAAAGATTCCTAGACTCATAGATAGGTTCCAGGTTCCTACATCTTAATATTCCTATTTGTTAGTTTTAATTATAATTTCTTATTAATTTGTCTTTTACAGAGTGCAAATTAATTGAAGGAAATTGCAGTTCAACTATTTTTTAAAATATAGCTGTAATTGTACATATGTAAGTTAAATACCTAATGTATATTACTGTATTAATTAATTAATAATAAACAAATACTATTTCAGATTCAAAATAATAAATAAAAACTAATTTCAAAAGGTAAGTGATCTCACATTATTATTTCTATTAGAATTTTTTTTATTATAATATACAAATAATTCTGATGTTCAGTTTAACTATTCAATTTCATACATAGAAAAAAATGTTGACTGTTCACATATCCTATATTATATTTTATTTATATAATAATAATAACTTATTAAGTGTAGTTTATGTTGGTTCAGTATTGTGACCAGCAAACCATAGTAACAGACGGTCCGATTTTCATAATTCAATTCAAAAAGTAAAATGAACAAACAAATTAAATTTACTTCATAATTTCCTAAAAATATGCAGTTACATTATATATAACTTCAATATTTTTAATAATAGCAAAAATTATTCCTTTAATTATTATTTCTATTAATATTTATTTTAAGCATTTATTTTCTCTTTCTAAATTATTTTGCTGAATAATTTTGTTTTATAAGATCTTAAATAAAATAATAATTTAAACATTCAAATCGAATCGGAAACTCTTGGATGTTTTAAAATATACAATATTGTTATTTAAATGACACTTTTTATATTAAAATATCTAATATATAAAATATCGAAGCGCTCACAATTTCTATAATTCCATTATATATATCATTAATGTCCTTACGTCCTCGTTTATTTTTTTTTTTTTTTTTTAAACATACATTTATTTATTGCATCTTCTCTTAAAATGAAATGAGTCCTCGTTTATTAACTTTGAAAAATAATACAAAATCTTGCAAACTACAAAGAAGTCAAAATTAATCTATGGAGTAAAAATAATAGGAAATTGTTAACAATTTATCTACTATATAATTTAATATAGTAGAGCACAAAACAAACTAGTAAATCGTTTTATTTAGAATATTTTTTTTTTTTGAAAATAAAATATTAATGAAAAAATGGTGGGAAACACTATTTTCTAGTGATAATAAACATCATTGTTAAACGCATAAATAGCATTTATTATTGTAAATTTCTTTATTCTTATAAATGTACTTTGTGATGCAACAATGGTACACCAAGTAATAACGTAATAAAATATATTACGCTATTCTCTAAATACCGTAGTTTCTTAAGCTGACCAAAATAATTAAGGTTTGTGGATCAACCGAACAATATCTCATGACTCAAGATTTCATATCTTATACAGAACTACGATTGACACATGGAAATACTGGACGACCAATCTGTCTATATAAATATTAATTTAAATTTTATATATTATGTGTATAATATTAACATTTTTTATTCATAAATTCTACTAATCACTTAAATATGATGAAATATATATAAAATAATATATATATAAATATATAATGTAATATATATAATAATACATGATATATATAATAATATAAATAATTTAATAAAGTTATTAAAATAGACTGATCGACCAGAATTTTCATGTCTTTCATAGTCCTGAATGAGGTCTGGAATCTTGAGTCATAAGATATTGTTCGGTTTAGAAATATATGAAAATTATTATAAGTCTTATGATTGTTATGTATATAATAATAATAAAATAAATTAAATGATATTAGTTAAATATATGCAAATATATTAAGTAACATAAATTAAATTTATTGAAATATATTAAATTATATTATTTAACTATATTTTAATTTATTAAATAGATAACCCCATATTGCTGTTGTTTTTATATCCAACTTCATATGAAACTGCAAAAACTATTTGCATAATAGTAGTGAGCCAATTCCAAAAACAACTTATATTTATAAAGTCAAGTTTCTAAAATAGTGGATTATAAACTAGTAAGATGTTTTCCTCATGTCGAAAGCTGCACTCGCAGTGAAATTTGAATAGTACTCTTGTCGTAGCTAAGACCAAAAGATATTAAAATCGACTTTATAATAAATGACATCCAGTAGGTATTTACACATCTTTAGTAGCTGAGGTGACACTCACATATCATTTAATGCAGATAACTCAAGTTAGCTGATTGTTCTAGCTCGCAGAAATCTGTCTGTGTAATTCCTTTTGAGAGTGTTGCAAAAGTTTCCGGGATGTTGATCCGTTCGTGTTTGGAATCTAAACTCATTTGGTTATGCACCGTGCATTTGACTTTCCTTAAACTGAATAAGGGATGAGATTTTGAACCAAAAATTATTACTAGATTTATTAATAGACTTAATTTATTTGAGTTACCTTAAGAGCCTCCCTTCAGCGATAGTACCAAGGATTTCGTAACTCCAAGTATGGAGTGTACCATTTTTCCATTTAATAATACTGAAATAAATAAAGCACATAATTTATGTTTAATGATAAATATTAAGTAAAAAGCATTATTCTAACTTTTTGTCAAGCAATTTAGGTATTGACGATAACCTTTTATATTCATTTAGAAAATGCTAATCTTTTAATGGCACTGTAAGGATGTGTTCACTTCTGTTATTTATTTCCCGACTATTTTGTACGAATTGGTGACGCATATTTTGCTTCAACTTTGTTTACAGAATCCAGCGCTAATAAATACAAATATATTTTATGATCTTTTTTATTTAATTTCTCAAACAAAAATATCAAAAATATTTTATCAAAATCAAATATATAAATACGTAAATTCTACCGCGTAAAACCAAAATCACAGCTGTTACACAAATTGAACCTTGCAATTTATTGAACTCTCCAGTGTGTAACACATTACACAGAATGTACACAAGTGCACATTGCTGCCTTCACAATAATTTCACTTGACGTTTATGTTTTTGCTTGTATCTTAAATGATTGTTTTTATTCTATTTACCTTTTATCCATATTTCGTTTTCTTGTCTTGTTTACTTATCGCTCACGGTACGTGCCACACATGCACGTACGCTATGTGCATGAGTATTTTGTATTTATTTGATGTTATTTTAACTATTGTTTTTCTTCATATGTTTTGTTTTCGATATCCTTAACTTTTGAGTGCAGTTTTAATGCAAAAGATAAACGACCCAATACGAAATTTTATCAAACCGCTCGTATATGAATATATGATAATTATTTCAATGCAGTTCTTGATATTCTTAATATTCATTCTATGATACGCATTTCATAACAATCTTTTTAAATTATTTATTATTATATGATATTCATTTCGTTATATTCATTTTGTGATATTTATATAATATTCTCTTAATGATATTCATTATTTTATGATATTCGTTATGTTATATTCATTTATATATGTATATATCACATCATTTTCATATAATTTTTCAATAAAATATAAATTATTACATTCAGTGTATAAATTTTACGAAATTTTTAATAGGTCTGTGCCACGAGCTACTCGTAGTAACTTTGAATAACACTGTGTATACATAAGTGCATTCCACCAGCAAATTTTCGAGTAAATGAGATCATCTGAGAGAGCGTAACATCCCTGCCGAAATTAAAAAATACTACAAATTTTTGTTGATGTGTGAATCAGTTGTTTTGGTTCGAATTTAAATTTTTATATAATTTATACGCGCAGCACTGGTGTTCTCACCAGACTTTACACAAAGCTGTTCCATGAAAAGCTGTGTAAAAAGTGTAATTTGGCACTTTAATTGTGTTACGCTCTCAGCTTGTATTTTACTTGTGTTTCACTTGAGTTTTATTACAAGTAGCTCGTGAAATAGACATATTATATTAAGATAATATAGATAGGTAGTTATAAAATAATTGATAAGTATAAACTAAGAATTGTATTATATGTAATTAACCTGTATGTATTATAAGTTAGTGATAGGATAGTGATTAGATATTAAATGCTAAGTATGCAACAGTTAATTTCACTGAAATTAATTGTTTCTGTTATATAGTATAAGTATTTATTAAATTTGGTTATTGTCTTAAAATGATAGATTCCAAATAAAATTAAAAAGCAAAAAAAAAAAATTGTCACTGAAATTTCATACAAAAATACTTATCGCACTGGTGCGATAGGTATAAGATATGAACACTGTAATATGTTAGTACTTACTTATCCAAGCGTAAGTGATTATAATTCCTAGTGGCATGCTTCTAAAAGTATCTACTGCCTCTGTACATGAAAATATTTCACTCAATGATCGTTTAGTGTTGAATAGTGATCTTGTGTTAGCGGGTCACAGTCGGAGAAATTGTTTTTGTGTGCATTTATATAGGTTTCTAAATATTGTGCACAGAAAGGAATGGGATGTTTGTGTCTAAATAGAAAGAGTCCAAGTTGGAATGAATGGTAAGTTAAAAAAACAAAACTATATCTAATCAGATGCAGTGAAATATTGTGTAGAAAAATATAATAACTTAACAAAATAATTCAAATAAAGAAATTATGTACCAGAAACTTCTTAAAAAAAAGTTAATCGAAAAAAAAATTTTTTTTTGGTAGTATACAACAAATGTGTTGCATGTTCTGTTGTGCCCCGTAAACACCATTTTGTTTTCCTCTACTTTATTTTTGAAGTTTTCTTTTAATTTCAATATTTTCTTGAAGTATCTTCTTCTTATAAATGCAGTATCTACTCAAATTGCCTCTGTTTCCCGGGAATGTATTACTGCAGATATAGGACAAGAAATGTTTTGATTTAATGTAAATACGTTTCCTACGATCGCTCCAATACGAAATTGTCATGAACCACATAAAACATAAATTTTAAGACTTTAAACTTAGTTTTTGCCCTTGTTGTGTTATCGCCAACAATTCAAAAAAAAAAAATAGTAAATAAATAAATTTCAGAAAGAGTTCAATTATATACATGATTTGGTAAAAAAATTCTTAATTCACATATACATATTCTCAATTAAAACTAAAAACTTAAGTAAAGAAATTATGATTTTTTGCTAAGTGAAAGAGTAAGATTCATTCGTTGCTCTATGGTCCACTAATATGGAAAAGATAATGATATCGTGACATGTGCTAAATGAACCAATTTATTCCTCCGCCTATACAAACGCAATCGTCTATGAAATCAAATAATCAAATAAAATTATTTAAAAAAATTTTAAAATTTATTTTAAAATAACTTAACTTATTTTAATATAACTTAAAAACTTATTTTAAAATAACTTAAAAACTTATTTTAAAATAACTTAAAAACTTATTTTAAAATAACTTAAAAACTTATTTTAAAATAACTTAAAAACTTAAAAACTTATTTTAAAATAACTTAAAAACTTATTTTAAAATAACTTAAAAACTTATTTTAAAATAACTTAAAAACTTATTTTAAAATAACTTAAAAACTTATTTTAAAATAACTTAAAAACTTATTTTAAAATTACTTAAAAACTTATTTTAAAATAACTTAAAAACTTATTTTAAAATTGTTTCGATCTATAAAGAGCATAAGTTTGCAATATGAACCCAATTGTTGTCAGAGAGTCTTCAGAGTCACTGAAATATGATAGTGCTATATATTATTTTATTCATTCTCTTCATTTTTTATTTAAATGAATGTATATTTACTGAATAACCATTTAATATATAAAGGTATTAACAACATACTGTTAAAATTCTTTCTATAATCCCATTTATATGGTGGGGTAAATCAGGAACTACCAATATTTTTCATATTTGGTATATATAAAAACATCTTGAAAATGATTAATTTTCGAATATGATCAACCGCTTTTTGATAATCATAGTGTAGTCGATATTGTAATTAAAATTAAATAAAGAAAGTTTACAAAATCAATCTACTAAATTGAGATTGATATAGATCAGGTAAGCACGAGGATATCAAATATTTGGGATACATTTAAAATATATAAATTTATACAATATCGTTGGAAACGATCAATTTCGAGATTGAATTAAATACTTTGATAACCAGTATAGATAAATTCTTCTTAGTATTCTGTTTCAGTAGCTGGTTGTCATCCGTAAAAACTATCTATGAGAAGATCTATGAAAAGAATTTAATATTTCAAATTTTCTTGGTAAATTATTGAATATGATATGAAAAATTGATAGATATATTTAGTTTAATATTGTTATCGATCGATTTTTTTTGTTTGATAAATTTTATTAATTTATTAGTATTTTTGAAATCAATATTTTAAGTACTGATTTACATGTTGCGGAACGTCTATTACAAATGACTACAATTTGTTTTCATCGATGGGACACGCATTGGATGAGCAGCACTTTGATTCCTACGAGGAGGTCGAAAATTGGGTGTTTGGTTGGTTTGCTTTAAAAGACGAACACTTTTTTTGGCGTAGTATCCACAAATTGCCAGAAAGGTGGTCAAAATGTGTAGAAAGCAATGGCCAATACTTTGAATAAAATGTTTTTTACTTTCCTATTAATAATTAGTGTTTTATTTTCACCAAAAAACGCTTATTTCATACCGGTACACCTGGTATTCCGTAATACTGTTTTGGTTACAGAATGAAACTTTGTCCCAATGGGCACCTCATTTAAAGGGACACTTTCTTAAATGCTTAATTTTTACTGAAATCAAATTTGTTTTTTTTTTATTTATTATTTGAAATAATTTTTCTCCTTATGGTTGTTGGTGGAAAAACTTTCTTAATCAAATCAAAATTGTATGACAAATGTTTTTTTTTAATTATCTAAATGTGTCAAAGTCGGTCGATAATTTGTTAAGCTATGTTAAGATATTTATAACGAAGTGAATTTAACATCGGAGATCTCATAATATATATCTTTCTAATCTTATTGTATATCTCTATCTATAGTTTCAATCCTTAGTTTACGTTTATATTGTTATAAGGGTGTATTGGCTTTATAATGATACTAAACGATGTCCGTCTATCCATATGTCTGCCTCGATATCTGTTCTACGAAAATTGGTCTTTTAGAAAATTTGTTTAACATTTAAACTTTCTTGTTCCAGTCTTGGGAAGGGACCTTGTTAGACCCTTTGTCTCACAAGACATAAATTAATAAAGCCAGTTCCTAAAATAAATGAAACTAGCATTGTAGTTTATACTACATATCACTACAAACAATCACAACAATAACTCAAATTTGAATATATCTTTCCGCCGATTGAATATTATTAAATATAGCAACCATACAATCTTATTGTGGTGTTAAATTTTTATTAATAAAATGTTATTAACTTTGTGTGAAGGGTATTTAACCTTCGACTAAGCAAAAACTAATTTCTTTATTTACTTCTATAGGATTTTCTTTTAGTGAATTGCTTATTCCATTGACTTCTTTACACCTTTTATATTCTTGCAGAACTTCTTTATAATTTACATTCTGTCAATATGTTAACGTTTACATTACTTGGTAAAAGTATTGTACAAAGCTCAGCAAATAAAAAAAAAATTGCTAACCTTGCTTTTGACTTCTTGACAATAATATGTAAAATATTTCCACAGCAAATAATTCCATAAAAAGTAGAATTACTCCTTTGTTATGTAGGCACATACAGTTTAGGTTGAAGTAAATGTGAAGTCTTACCTATGAGCGGTAATGTCTACCATAAATGATATTGGATATACAAATAAATTGGATAATTATTAATTCTTTATGGTATTCAAATAATGAAATATATTAAAGTAGGAACTCTATGTCTTTCCCTATCTAAT